CTGTTCAGATAGCTCACTGAGGGCATTAGCAGCAGACATGGTTCCTGCATAGAACTTTTCCAAAACGGAAACGATATATCCAGGTATTTTGCAGCATTTTAAAAGTTTTTCCACATCACTGGATGATGTATCAAATGCAACCTCAAGTAGAAAAAAACGGCAAACCAGGGCAAATGGACACCATTAATTCCAGGTAGAGGGAGAATTACGAAGACGTACATTGAACAGAAGTATTCCTAATTTTAGCGGTGCCTCATCCCTCTACCGAAAACACGAAACACGTATTTGTGTATTGCTGATGTTCTCATTGATTAACGGAATACAGGGCATAGAAAACGTTCTGAAGAACCTAGTACAACATTCATTCATTTTTCCAACTCGTAGTTGCTTTCATGTTGTTTGCGCCCTAGCTTCAACAATCATATTTTTCAATGCTTCTATTCTATACTGAATTGTCCGCATTATCAAACTGAATGCAAGCTTCAAATCCTTTTCGACCTTCCTGTACAAAACAAATGGTGGTGGTGGGGAGGGGGAGGCTAACAAAATTATGCAACAATTTGATTAGCAGTCGTTACCAACGAAGGAAACCGTCCTATACTTTTAAACGAACTGCTCAGTGTAAGGTTTTCTCTTAACCATACGGAAGTACAGCGCTACTGAATCACGGTCATAATCATAATTTAACAGTAAACAAGATAATGTGGAACATTCTTGGATGGATCTCTACTTTCTATTCATCTGAATTAAAAGATGGTACGAGGGGGCGACCTTTCATGCTCCAATCAGCCAGCAATATTTGCCGGTTCATGAGATGCATAAGAACTCTGGTCTGCGATTTTAAGATAATGGAAAGCAAAGCATATAAAAGGTAAAAGCACTGCAATGAATATCGGCTTTCATTACGAAAGGCAGCGAAAGAAGGAAAATTAGCCGCTTGAAAATTCACCAAACAAGAGACAAATGATTCTGCAGAATAATGAATTTGTGGACAATCTAAAAACGAAAATTCAACTTAACTTGAATATAAGAGAAGTGTTTTCTCTAAATTTCGAAGCTTTTCTAACAATTGATCATTTTGCTGGGCCAGATGTTCATAAGACAAAATCTGTGTTTTCAGCGTTGATACAGCTTCCTTTTCGCATAGATAACGATTCTGAAGCTTGCCGTGCTAAAAATAATATTAATCAGTATCATCATATCTTAAAACTACCATAGCAGATATGCACCTCCACTTTAAGGTTGCTGTTCGAAATTTTTAAGGCGTCAACTTCATGCTCCAAAGTCTTGATGCGGGTTTCGTCCTTTCGCTTCTGTATTTGTAAAACGAGCAACTGAACTTACAAACTAAGTTTAGGTAAAGGAATGTTTTGTAAAAATGCCATCTGCCAAAGTCAAACCTCAGCTTTCAATTTCGGTACATCGCTGACATTCAATGAATTCAGTGCAGCTCCATTCTCCACATCGTCATCGTCAACCATGTTAAAAAACAGGCGAAATGGACTACGACATCGAACTATAGCGCGACATGTCGGACATGTTTTATGACTGTTCAACCATGTCGCAATGCAATCGCGGTGAAACACGTGTCCACATGGTAGTGCGCCGACCGATCTTAAATCTGCGATATCGAAGCATATCGGACACCGGGCAAACAAGCCTAAAACACAAGAGGAGCGTATACTTAGAAATAATTATGAGCAAAAAACTAAATGAGCCAGCAGCAGAAAATTCTATTTATATCAATCAAATCATAAATAAAAAGATGGAGAACAGTGGCGACTAAGTTTGTAACGGTCAATCGTCAGAAACAACGGTTAGAAGCGACAACAAAGGACAACTGATGTATATCAGTCAGCAAAAGGCTATAAATTAATATCACCGTATCGTTCAGTGCAAATTCAAATCATTTCATAGTGACTAGTTCAACGCCTCAATCATTACATATAAAATCGTTAATGTCTGTCAGTTGAAAAGACCTACCTACCTCAGCTGATTAATTAGTAAATGATGGAAAACAGAATTCAATGAACCTACAAGCATAAAACTCTGGCATTCAAAACCTTATGGTGTGTTTCACAATGGATGCCTCAAAGTCGCCTAAAAAAATCATACATGCACTGATGATAAACCCTACATAAACTATATTAAAAAATTACTTGATTAAAATATCAGACAAAAAATCTATT